GCACAAACGAGGAAAGACACAAGACAGGAATAGCAAGGCATTCAGCTTGGCTGGAGGGAAGGGTATGGGAAACAAGGAGGGAAGGCAATGTTCACTGAGTGCTCACTAAGTGCCAGGCATGTGCTAGAAGATTTCACATATTTAAGGTTCAAAAATGAGGGGAAATGAGTTTGGAGAGGTTGTCTGGAGTGTGATCACACAAGACCTTGCAATGCAAAAAAACAGTTCTGAAAAGCAAAGCAGTTCACAAAGGAGTCCATTTGGGCCCACAGTCTACCACCTCTTGCCGCTGCACCATCCCATCAAGCAGCTCTGCAGCAGAGAGCAGGCAACCAGGAGGTAACAGGAGAACCATTCTTATTCTGGACTACTACTAGCAGGAAATCATCTTAAGTCTTGCTGAGGCATCAGGTGTGCCAGGTACCACCGATAAGGACGGACGGCAATTTCTTAACTACAGCCACCCCACCCCCTTCCCACCCCTGTCTCCACAGCCTGGAAAACCTGTGCATTGTAAGCCACAAGGTGGAGATGTCTGGCAGAGCAGAACTGAGAGGAAGTTGCTTAGCCAGTCTAAGGTTACCATTAACACTTTGAGCCACTGCCTTGAGCTAATTTTTATGTTTGTTTTTAAAGTTTGGTTGAAATGGCACAAATGGAAAAATTAAGTAAAGCACCCGGTTAGCCACAAGACTGGACACACCTGGCTGCAAACCCAGCAAAAGAAACTTACTTCATTAGTAGGAGAGGCAGAGAGTGAAATTTACATCTGAAATCTGCCTGCACTGGGAGAAAGTGTTGAGGCCAAAGGCGCTGTCTGTTTTTACAGCTGTGTCAAGTCTTAGTTCTTACTCTTACCAACACTCAGGAGTGCGGCAAGGGCCCAAGGAAAAATGGTCTCCAACCTCTTCAGCTGCAACTCAGCTCACAAAGGTTTTTTAAGAACCAGCTAATGAAATAAAACAAGACCAGATGAGGTGATATAATGAACTTTATTTCCACAGCTACTTTATAGATTTAAATCCCAAATAATATTTTTTAAAGTCAGAACCCTCTAAATTATTGATGTGATTTTTGTAACTTCAAATTTAACACTTGCTTTTTTGTACCAGCTTCACTGATGATATATGAGTCTGCCCCATTTTTCACAATAGTTGGAATCCTACAAAGCTGATAAAAAGCAAACTTTCGTAAATGAAACTTCTCCCACCTATAGACTAAAACACTCATGTTGAAGTAGTTCTTGATTGGAATTCTAATTCCAAAGGTGTTCTTAATTCAAATTTCTGATCTATCATCAATTCCCAAGTGTCACTCTTGGTTTTTCATCTTCCCCTCACCAATCCACTCCAAGTAACGGCCTATAAGGACTCTTTGGCATAAGAAAAATCACCACTGCAATAATTAGTTTCATAAATTTTACTTTTTATGTGCGTTTTCTTACAAAAGTACACCTGCGATGCCAAATAACACAGAGACAGATTTGCAAATTACCACCTTCAAATCACTGGTTTTCATAGCTGAAAAGAAACTTGGAAATCATGTAGTTAGCCCCCTTACACCACCTGTTTTTATGTTGTTTTAATAAAGAAACTGCTCCATACTGCTCATTTTTTTTCCAGCCACATGTCCCATTTCTTGAGGTTGTATACTCATAAAAGACTAAGATACCCTCTGTACACAGACACACACACCTACACACGTGCACACACACAACTTAAAAGTGGTTAATATACCTACATAGTGTCCGTTTATATTATGAGGTTGAAAGGGAGGATCAAGTCTATTATAAACAGAAAAGTAACAGTAATTCCCCAACTCTTCTAAATTGCTATTATTTTAAAGTCATTATCTTTATTTATAGTCTTTGTAACTAAACCAGACCCTGGGAGTTTCTCTCCATGAGGGAAAATTGAGATCCTGTACCAGGGGAATCACTGAAACCTTGCTATTCAAATGTAGTTGCAGGCTGGCTGCGGACTCAAGGAGAGCGCCCTTGCTGAGCATGCACAAGGCCCTGTGAAAGTTCCCAGCCCTGGGGAGGGTGGGGAAGACAGTCCGCCGCTTCCCCTGTACTGCTAGAAACATGGGGAAACTTTTCAAAACTGTAGCTTCTGGCCCTGCTCCTGAAGCCTACTGAAGAAGAATCTGAACAAAATCCTCAGGTGAACCTTAGGCACACTAAAATCTGAGAAACAGTGATTTAAAATACAACAATCCAGGGGGCTGGGGATTTAGCTCAGCGGCACAGCACCTGCCTGGCAAGTGCAAGATCTTGAGTTCAATTCCCGGTGCCAGAAAAAAACCAAAAAAACCAAACAAACAAAAAACCAAAACAACAATCCAACTAGAAAAAAAACAGCTGAATAAAATGGGAGGCAGTACCTTCTACAGTGTTCCACTGATGTACATTTGGACCAAAGACTAATCAGGTATGATTTATCTGATAAATAAGCTAGCTTTTAAAAAGAATTTCAGAGGCTGAAGTTCAATTTATTCACGCACTTGACAGGCATTTATTTATTCAATGTTTACTGCGTAAGTAAAAAACTAAGACAATTTCCTCCTTATATAAAGCTTTCAGTTAAGTAGAAGGGACATACATACAAAGTAACACAGGAGAAGGTCAAAGTGTTGAAAGTTGGATACAGAGGTATATGGAGGTCTAGAAGGAAATTCAGGGAGTGGGGCAGTCACCATGTACGGTTTATTAAGCTATTCAAGATGAGACAGCTGTGGCCTACATGGTTCTAGTGGCCCAGCTTCCAGCAGAGTTTAGCAAACAGTGATACAAAAAACAGGTTCACTAACAGAAGAGCTGCTGATGCATTAACTGCCTGACAGTCAGCCAAGCCTCTGACTGGGCAAAGGACATCACTGGTCACTATAAAATGGGATGATCTGAGAAGCCCAACACCACCCTGTGTCCACTGTGTGCTGCCACAGAATTGGGCCATAAGTACTAAGGGTATGTGGAACACCCAGCTGGATTAATAACGTAAGGGCTGCTGATCTCACTCTGGGTAGCTAAGACAGATGGCAGGCAGGACAGTAAGAAACATTTTAAAATGAACCAAAGAGGACATTAAAAAGAGTTCAATATTGACTCCAAAATAGGTAACAATGATGGTGGTAATGTGATGATGATGATGGTAATAACAGCCAAAACTTTTATATGTACTACAATTTTCCTATAATGAATAGAAATTCTACATCTAGTTTTGAAATTCTGTATCATTTTTATTGCTTTTTTTTCTTACTTTTTATTATCTTTAAAAGAAAAAAGGAAATTCCAATGGTCTATTGTCTCAAAGAATGGCATGTGAATGTCAGTGAAGATACCTAAAGCCAGGCCCAGGTCCACTGTGCTTCCTATACATGCAGTCCCTTCAGAGACACAAGAACCTGAAAACACCCTCAACGCAGGTTCTAAGAGGCAACCATCACCTCCATGACGTACTCGCAAAGACTAAAACTTTGCATATAAAGTGACCGATAACAATAGCCAATAGCACAGGTGTGTGTGAAAATAATTATAATAAAAATAAAATATGATTGGAGAATTGCTGTGCAGCATGGAAAGACCTCTGAGACACTGTTGAGTGAAAAGGGAGTTGGATGTGAGTACATAAAGAATGACACTGTGTATAATAAAACAGACACAAAACCTAGTACTACCTATTTTCTACAGATAGCCTAGTAGACTGTAAAAGACATACACCAACTGGAAACAGTGGTTATTTTTTGGAAGGAGAAAATGCCCAGAATTGAGATTAATGAAATCAGAATTGAGATTTCAACCTTCGTTAAAATATTTTGAGTTTAAAAAGTAATTATAATGTTAAAGCATATTTAATATACATTAAGTGAAAAAAGCCAAGATTCAGAATAGTGTGATGGCATAAGTCCATCTATGTTTTTAAGACTACACATTTATATATTTGTATAGTAAGCACTAGAAAGATATACGTCAATTACAAACAACAGTTATTTCTAGGTGTTAGACTAGGAAAGACACTTGGTTTTTCTTTTCACATTAAATGCTTTTCATTGTTTGGCTTTTATTCTCCGACATGTGTGACTTTTTAACACATTCATAAACTCTGTTTACTTCTCAGTCTACAGAAGAACTTCACTCTGATATGAAAGAAACCAAATTAACCCATTTCATGACCCAGACGGTTCTACTTTGGATGCTCACAAGCTAGAGGCAATGAAATGGGAAACAACAAGGAACTACAAGTTACTAAAACATGGGCTAGACACTCAAAGTACACAAAAGAGATTACTGTTTACATAACCTACTTCCAGTGTTTTGGAGTCATTTTTCTATTGTCATCACATTCCATGTGACATATGAGTATTCTCCTTTCTCAGGCTGTACACTTTCAGAGGGTATTTTGCCAAAGTTTTCTAGTGATCAAGGAGGCTGCTTTTCAGTTCCTGAAGACAGTGTAGGCCCAATACCAGGATCTTTCCATCAGAACTTAGAGGAGGACTCAAACACTAAATCAATGCCAGAAGAAAAGTGTCCTTCAACTGAATTAATACTTGATTCCCTCTATTTACCAATTCCACCCCCTACTACCATTTCTGCACACAGTATATCCCCACACTGACAAACCACAGTAATTTGTAAAAACATACAAAATATCTGCGGCGAGTCAGTCTCCCCAGAGGTAGAAAAAGTGACTACAGCTAAACTACCCCTTGACGTTAGGCAGCATTTCACAGAAATCCTAAGCCTACTCTAAAGCAGAAAAACCCCAAACCCAAATCAAGTAGTCCTTTCTCAGACTTGTCCAGATCAAGCATCTGATAGCAAGTTGGGTATGGTGGTACATGCCTGTAACCCCAGCACTCAGGAGGCTGAGGCAGGAGGGCAAGAGGTTCATCACGAGCCAGAGGCCAACTTGGGCCACATAGTGAATTCAAGATCGACCTGAACTACATAGCAAGACCTTGTTTCCAAAAAAACAAAACAACAAGAAAGCACTTACCCCCATGACTCTGCCACGCTGCTCAACATCTTCCCACATAAAATGAACTATGATACGACACATATATTTCCCACTCCGGCCTTCCTGCTTCATTCGGACTAGACACATCCTGGACAGGAAGAAGACAGTTACTGGCTATTTGTATTTTTCACATCATACAGGTTCATGAAGGAATGATTTCAGCAAAGGGCACTAAATTGAAAAACTGGAAGTGACCTTATTTATTTAAAAGAAAAATGTTACTGAAGTAGAACATACATTATAAAGCTCATCAATCTTAAGTACATAGTTTATATAGATATATCTTCATGTAAGCACACCCAGATAAAGATAGTTTTTTGGATTTTTTTTTTTTGTAGTATTGGGGATTGAGTCCAGGGCCGCTTACAATGACGTACATTTCTCAGTCTTCTTTATTTTTTTATTTTGAGGCAGGATCTCACTAAGTTACACAGGTGGGACTTGAATTTGCCTCAGTTTTCTGAAGTGCTAGAATTACAGGCATGTACTACTATACCTGGCAAGATAGAAATTATTTATACAGCACCTCACAAGGCCCCACTCCCCTTACGTGAAAGGGACCACATTTAGCCGTTAGAAGAAAAGCAAGTCTGAATCAATCCTTTCCTTCCTTTCTTAGTTTTTTGAGACAGGATCTCACTGTGTTGTCTAGGCCAGACTTGAACCTGATACGTTGTACAGGCTAGCCTCGAATTCATGATGCTCCTTCCTTAGCCTCCCAAGTGCTGAGATTACATGTGAACCACCACACTAGCAAAAATAACAGTTCTAATGAAGGAAAATTCTTTTTTTGTTGTTGTTTTTTTTCCAGTACCAGGAATTGAACTCACAACCTTGCGCTTGCCAGGCAGGCGCTGTGCCACTGAGCTAAATCCCCAGCCCCCAACAAAGGAAAATTCTTTGCCCAACACCACAGACTAGTCTGTAAAGCTAACTACGGACCATGCTGTCTGATACAGTAACCACTCTCTACCTGCAATTACTGAGCACCACTGAGCTAGTCCAAGATTTCAAAGCTTGACCTCAAGAAAAAGAACATAAAAAATCTCATTTTTATAGTGCAAAATGTTGAAATAATATTTCAGATCTAATGAGTTAAAAGTATGAAATTAATTTCAGTTCTTTCTTTTTACTTGTGAGCTATTAAGAGAGTTAAATGGAGCTACTAGAAATTGTTTTAAAAGTTTTTTTGTCTTTTTGAGACAGGGTCTCGCTATGTAGTTCAGGCTGATCTTGAACACATAATGTAATCCAAGCTGGCCTCAAACTCACAGCAAACCTGCTGCCTCAGCCTCCTCAGTACTAGGATTACAAGCATGCGCCACCTATGTCTGACTAAAAATTTTAAATTACATGTGTTGCTTGTACTATATTTCTTTTGGGTAACACTTATCCAGAATATAGATCACAGAAAGTACTATGATTTCATTTTTATAATTATGAAATTATTTTTCCTACTAGATGTAAACTCCACAGAAGACAAAGATCAAGTCTGGGTTTTTTCAACGTTGTATGTCTAGGGCTTAAGTACAGTGGGCACTCAATAGGTATTTGCTGAATAAATAACTGAGTAAACATGGCACCTACTGACCATAGTTTTGGACATTATATTTTAAGAGACAACAGATTGTAATTAGGAAGAGTAGGTTCTTGTGTTCTTTTCCTCTGTACCATATTGCCTCTAATCAGACTAGAGGGCTCTCTAGAGGACCCCATATAAAAATAGAACAATTGTTATTTTTTACTATTTAATAGATTTAATTACATATAAGAATATAAGCAAGTTCACAAATTTTCAAACTCCCAATTTCATTCTTATAACTATATGACTTTTATTGTCTTTCATTAGTTATTAAACAGCTACCCTATTCATCTAAGAGACAATTTCTGTTATAATTTTGGAATATGTGGTTAAACGGACAATCTGCCTCCATACACAATTGATCCTGCCCATTAAAATATACTAGGAATAGCATGGTACAATGAAATGATTTCAGTTTGGCCTGCCTCAACATCTCTGTAATGACTAAGACAGAGGAAAGACAACATATTTATCAACTGGCAGATAACAAGTTAGGCAGGGGAACAAATGCTAAATGACTCAAGCATGCCAACAGTATTTCAACAAGGTGGTTTTAATGGGCTGACTCCAACAAGAGGAATTTGAACACGGATAAACCAAGTCCTATACTTGGGCCTAAAAGAACAACTGCAAAGGTACAAAACAGCTAAGTGATACCTACCTATGTGTGAAAAAGCCTTACAAGGTTTAAAAGGTACATGTTCAATAGGAGTCAAGAGGATACTGGTGGTACCAAAAAAATTAATGTGATTTTAAATACATCAATGGAAATATAGCCTCCCCGTCCTAAGTGAGACTTCTGTTCTACTCAGCACAGATCAGAATCTACTTAGAATAGAACCTACTGACCATAGTTTTGGACATTATATTTTAAGAGGACAATAGATTATAATTAGGAAGAGTAAGTTCTTGTGTTCTGCATTGTAGGGTGACTAGAATTAACAATATGTATATATTTCAAAACAGCTAGAAGAGAGGAGTTTGAATGTTCTCATGCCAACAAATAATATATGGGGTGACAGATATGCTAAGTACTAATTTGATTATACAATGTATACTTTTTATCAAAATATCACATTATATCCCATAAATAGGCATACTTTTTAATGTGCCAACTGAAAATAAAATTTAAAAAATAGAAGGGAAAAAGATGAAATATCAGAAGATAGACAACTGTAGAAAAGTGATGACACAATGTTTCTATCACAGAGTTAAAATCAAAACCAAAGGGTGAACCATAGGAGAAAGACTTACTCAGCACTGAACAATGAAAACAAAAACTTTCTAATGGGAGTGTCTGAGGTTATGAATGATGGAATGGGTGACCTCAACAAGTAGAGAGCTTGACTGTCACAGGAGAATGTCTGGCGAAGTGCAGCCATCTGACATAAGGATGACTACCTAATATCTTGTGGGATTTGTTACTGTGATTCTAAATTTGCTACCTTCGAACCAGTCAGTGCCTGAGAGATAGCACTTTGATACAACAATGAAACAGGCTATGCAAAAAGACTGGGCTATTTTACATGACATAGGGCAGTGATAGTGAACTTTTAGAGCTTTCAATGATACAAACAGCCTGCTGTGGCACACAAGCTATGGGTTCACCATCACTGATACAGAGCATAATCCAACGCAGAAACAAACTAGGAAAGTCCAGCAGTTTGTTTTCGTAAGACTTGTCTAAGTTAATAAAATCGTTCCTTAGTCTCTCACCTGAAAAGACACTGTGTTTTGATGCTTAAGTGTCATCAGAGGCCAATTCATCAACAGTAATAGTGAGGTAATGGAATTCTTCATTTATTTGAAAATTCTGTTTGCTAATACACCTGCCCTCTGAGGTTTAAAAGCACAGATTTTCTCAGACCATAAACTCTCTAACTATATCAACATGGGATGAGGTGTTTTTAGTTTCATAGCACAAACTTATTCTATAGCTCTTACAGATAACTCTCAGCTCAAATGGTTATCTGGGTTACAAAGGTAACAAAAAATGAAGTCACTCTCAAGAAAGAGATGGAAAGTTCACCCGATGAACATAAATTAAGCTCCTACTACCATGTGAAGGTATGGAGTTAGATGTGTGCATGTCATAGTGATGTCTAATACTAGAACCCAGCCTTCAAGGAGGAGTTTGTCTCCCAGAGGAGGTAAAATTCACCACATACAAAAAGCCTTAAAAGAGAATACATTATGTATCCCAAGAGAAAAGTGCAGTAAAGTTTGGGAACTACTTTTGCATGAGAAGGATCAGAGAAGGTTTCATGGAAAGGAAAACATACCTGGGGCTTGGAAGGATGAGCTGAAGTTGGACATGTACAGATGAAAGATAAGGGGACTTTCCAGCAGATAGAACATTAAAAGCAAAGACAGGATAGAGACAAGGTCAGCACATGTTAATGGAACAATGAATACCGAGATTTGTGGGAGGATAGGATGTAGGAATTGAAGCCAGAAGGCCTTTGACATGTCACACTAAGAAACAGCATGGATTTTTCTGGACTAAGAAGACAATGGTGAGCCACTGCGAAGAAGAGAGAGGACAAGCTCAGCACCTCAGCATCCAGAACAGATGAGCCTCTGAAAAGGCACCCTTTCTTTCCACCATCAGCCCTATAATTAAATACTCGCATCATCAGGACTAGAAAACGACAACTTTGGTTAGGAGAACGATGATAATCAAAATTGTCTGTCCAGAAACACACACTCAAAATTGTACTGTCTTTGGAGCTACACAATCCCCATGGTTTGTAATGGCCTGTACCTAACTGTTGATACTAACAAAAGTATGGCTTGAAGCCTTTAAATGAAAGGAGGGAAAATTCAAATTGCTCCTAAAATACCGCACCCAATTAGTTCAATGGGTACTTGTTGATGCAAAATTTTTTCAAAATTAAGGCTCTACAGCAAATTTTATCACATTAGGTAAAGTTATAAACACAAACCAAGAATCAGTTTTCCTATCAACAGCAAGCATATTAAAGATTCCCCTGAGTTCTACTAGGAAAATAAGATTCTGATCCTTTGGCTGGGTATGGCAGCACATGCCTGTAATTCCAGCACTTGGGAGGCTGAGGCAGGAGGACTGCTGTGAGTGTGAGGTCAGCCTCAATTGAACTGCCTAGCAAAACCTATCTCAAAAACACTCAAAATAAATAAGAAACAAACAAACAAACAAATCTGTTCCTCGGGGCTATCAAATCACCAGTACTATATTCATCTGGTGAAAAACTGACCTAATTTTTTCTTTCTTTGTGAGATAGTCTGTTTACATTGCTAAATTGCCCAACCTGGGTTGGAACTTTTGATCTCCTACCCCAACTTCCCAGAGTGTTGGGATCTCAGGTGTGTAGCATCACACCCAGCTTCAACTAATTTTTGCCCTAAATTGTGAATCAAATTCTCTAGATAGTTAAGAACAATCCTGCTGTGAAGACCTTTTGTTTTTATCTTTTCAAAGAAGAGGCAGAGCTAAAGGCATGGCCCCCATCTTAGACAGTCAGCTC